GGGGGGGGAGTCATCCACCTAACTTTCCTGACCACTTCCGCACCAATACCATTCTTATTTTCCCCTGTGATAATCCTATGTCCTTCCAGAAAAGTCTGTCCAGATGATCCCTTTGGATTCCCCCTACCGCCCACCCCCCAAAATAGTCACTATCACAACCTTCTGAGCTGACCTCTTTGCCTTGAATTTTTGGTCCAAAAGATCTCCTTGGAAGCCACTTTTTATTGTTGTGTTGTTGTTGTCCCTGTCTTCAGCTGGGCTCAGTGATTTATTTTATTGTGAATTAGGTGAGGTTTTACATATCCGATCATTTTTGCATTTTAAACAACGTACCAAACCTCCAAATGCACGCTCTGTGTATCTCCCCTTCCTTCACCCACACACATCTCCCTCTTGCAGTATATTATCTTCCTCTTTACCAGCGTTCACACCGATCTACCCTCTCCCTCCAAAAATCAAAACCAAACTCACTGCCATCGAGTCGATGCCAGCTCATAGCAGCTCTGGAGGGCAGTGTAAAACTGCCCTGTGGGTTCTTAAGCCTGTATCTGTTTAGATAGAAACAGGGATAGAAAGCCTCATCTTTCACCTGAGGAGTGGCTGGTGGTTGAGTACCCATGACCTTGCAGATGGAAGGTCACCATAACTCCCAATGCATAAGTCCTACCACACCATGGCTCCCAGGCCCTCTCCATGGGTCCCCAAATTACTTGTCACTGCCCCCTTCTCAGAAAATAATAATTACTTAACACCCCTCCCCCCTGGCAATTAAAAACTTTAATTCCTGACTCATACCTTTTCTGAGTTTTAAACCACACAAGATTCCCTTGTTCTGTTATAACTGCTTGTTGGTGTCTACACAGGTTCTGCATGACCACAATTAGTGTTCTGTAATTTTCAAGGTTCACAATGTTACCATGCTTTTTAGGAGCCACACAGTTGAATGACACAGTAAAACTCAGGCAGACATCTTTATGGTATTCTCTGCTATCAGCCCAAATGCATCTGACATCAGTAGTGCTGCTCCTTATTCTACAGATTCTTGTGAATCACTTTGGCTTCTCTGGCAGTTCCCGGTTGATATACTGCTATAATTGTTTTTTAATTGTCTTCTGCAAAACTTTACTTGCATATAATATTAATGACATTATCTGATAATTTCTGCATTCTGGGGGAGAGAATGAGACTGAAAACCAAGAAGAACTGGATTCAATGTAGTTCAAGTCTTAGTCATGTGATTGAGAAAGACGTTTACTTCCCTGGGGCTCTGTCTCTTTTTAATCTATGAAAGTATGTATTTTTTGTTGTTTGTTTGCTTGCTTTTGAGGATTAAAAAATTTTTTTATTGGCATATAATTCATATATCATAGAATCTAGTAATTCAATCATCTTAAAGAGTTGTACAATCATTACCACAATCAACTTTAGCACATATTCTTCTTTCTTGTAGGAATCTCTTTCTCCTTATTAGAAAGTAAATGGTTTGAACATAGGAATCCTAATTTTTTATTGCTGTCGCTATAGTGACTGGTATATGATAAAGATTAGATAAATTCATTGGAGAGATGAAATGTAATGCAAGGTATTTTATTGTCTGTTTTGTTTTATTTTGTTTTTGTATGTACCTACGCATTTATAACCTTAAAATCTGCTCTCAGGTCATCTGCAGAAAACTCACAGAGGAGACTCAGGGAAAATGAGGAAACTTCTTTGAGGGGAACACAACTTTAAAAAGCCTGAAAGAAGGCACAGTTAACCTTAGGGCCAATAATTACACAGTGAGCTGTGGATTATGGTGCTCCAATGGATCTTTCATTAGAGCTATTACAATAAATGCTAAGGACACAGCTCTGACACCTGGCCCCTTGGTATAACAGGAAACAGAGGCGGCCCAGCTCCGCTGTCATCTCCCCAGGCTGTCTTTTTCTCGTTCTCTCAGCAGGGTAATTGGGAAGAAATTGAGAAAGTGAAGGTACCTGCCTCTGGTTCTGATTATAGGGAGGCACACACTTAACTCTCTTGGCACTCCAATTCCTTCCACTGTATGAGTTCATGTGGCCCTCGTGGTTTCCTTTCATAGCAACTAAGTGGCAAGCCTTACATCTTTTTACTGATAGACCATGACCAAAGAGATTCAATGGCCTGCTGGAGATCTCTAACTCGTACTGGAGCCTACCTTTCGGCCTTCCACCTTCAGGCTTCTTTGCTTCACAATGATGAGAAGCTCTTGCTTGGATGTCCCAGGCTCTGGTGCCTTTCTTTTCTACATCGCAAGGGGCAGTGATTTGTGCCGGCATTTAGGCCCTGCTGTACCCCCAGCGTCTACAACTGTGCCTGGCATTTAGCAGACATTCCACATGTAGGGAGTTTAATGAAGAATGGAATGACTCGAGACGCGCTACAATTGGCCATGTGACTTGGAGCAAGTCGTTGTCCCCGTCTGGGCTTCCATTCTGTCCCCTCCCCGCTTTGCTCTCGCTCGCCCATTCGCTCCTCCCGCCGCTAGGCGGCGCCGTCGTAACTGGCCCGGCCCAGCAGGGAGCGGCTCCTTTCTTGGCCCGGCTGCGCCTTCGCCTTCGCCGGTCCCAGGGTGGGTTGCGAGGAACCGGAAGTGCCGGAGCCGCCGCCGCCGCAGCCGCCGCGGCCTTTAAGTACCGCTCGGGTTGCCACCGGCGCCTCCGCCGCCGAGAAAGCCTCCGAGCGCGGCGCCGCCGCTTCAGCCCGTCCGGAGTGGGGGCGGCGCGGCATGAGGCGGCGTAGGCCCGCTCCGTAGCGCGTGCCGGGACGGTCCGGGCGGGGCCTGGGGGAAGGTGCAGTATCCGCCTCCTCCTCCTCCTCCTCCTTCGCCGGCGAGGCCTGGGCCCCGACCCCCCTGCTCTCCCGGAGGAACCTCGGCGCGTTGTCCCGGCTAGCGGGCTCTGCGTGAGCCCGGCGCCCCCCTTGCTGGGGGCAGAGCCGGTGCTTGGGGCCCGCTTTCCGGAAGAGGAAACCGAGGCTCAGGTTCCGAGTCAGCCAACGTTCACTGGGAACCTGAGTGTGGGGTGCTGGGCTCCGGCTTTCCACGTCCGTTATCCTAATTAATCTCGCTGGGGCTGGGAGCGTGGGTAGTGTCCGGGCTTAGAGATGGGGATACGGAAACGCAGAGAGGCGAAGGAGTTTATTTGCCTGCGGTCCCGGTCTGGCAGATCAGATTGAGATTTTCGATGTTCTGGGTTCCTATCTGATGCTTTCTTAGGTACCGCCTTACCGTCGATTCCCTCCCAGCTCACCCCCCCCTTCTCTTTCTCCCACTTGCAATAGCGTCGATGTTGCTTTTTCCTGTCAAATCTCTCCCTTCGCACACTTTTCTCCGAAGCCCTCTCAGCGTTTCTCTGCTACACATCTTCTTCCTCGTTCACAACTGCCCCGACCTCTCTGCTGTCTCTGTGATAAGGGGTCTCAATCAGCCGTGCACTCTGAGTGTGAAATGGCTAAGGCGTCGATGAGACTTGACGGGTGTGAATGGCCAAATGAGTGGCCCTTGTGTAAAAAAGTAAGGGATGCCATTTGGGTTGATCCAAGTCCAGGAGTCCTAAGATGATTCCCTAAACCAGCAGGCTCTTCTCTGAGTGAGGCGTTGAGGACTGTGAGGAAGTGCCTTGACGTCGTAACCCGTTTTGGTTGTGCTAGCATGATCGCACCATTTTCCCGAAAACTTGCCGCCCAGTCTTTCCTGTTACATCTCCCCATCACCTATCCGTGCTTCAAGAGCCCAGGATGAAAACCGATGGCAAAGTAACAGGCATAAAAATATCAGATCCTTTTTAAAAAAAGAAAATTAACCGAAGCCCAAATTTCAACACTTACTTTTCTTTAAACGTGAGCTTACTGAAGTGATTTTCAGAGTAGAAGTAGTATGCAAACAAAAAATGGAATGCACGTAAAACAGACATTATCTTGTGAAAATCTTATTAAATACAAGTTCTCTTCATACAAAAATGGCTAAAAACAAAGGGCGGGGCTGTTCTAGAATTCTTTTTGGCTATGCCATGGAGTCTAAGCATCTCTGACTGGTTCTGTATGAAATTGTTGCAGACAAGACGGGACAGCTAGATTACTCATCTGTGTCATTTTTTAATATTGCTAGTGGCCACTGGGCAGTCTCACATTTGTGTATCCTTTATACTTGGAAAGCCCTTTTATTATTTTGCCTCCAATATATGTCTGGGTATCAAGCTTTACATGATATTATATTGAGTACATTGGGATCATACCTCTGAGATAATCTTTTAATTTTGATAATGTAAATTCCACATAAAAATAGTTTGAGCATTATATCAAAATGAATAATGTATTAGTTTTAAGTACAATTTGTAAGTTTTCTAGATCTCATCTTTGGGGGCAAATGTAGAATTTTAATCATGATCACTGCTTTGTATCTCACTTCCTTAGCCTGGCGAGCAGGATTGGATGGTGAATGCAGAAGGACTCCCATGAGAAGAGAGCAGGATGAGTGGAGGGTTCTCTCCTTGAAGCTGAGCCCTTGAAAGAGATTTCCTTGAACGTGGAAGAGATCTGGACAGATGAAAATACAATCAGGTAGCATCAGGGAAAGTATTTAAGAGAAGGAAGCGGGTGGGGGGTGGTGTCAATGTGTGCTCTGTGTCAAGAATTTATGTTAACCTTGTTTTCCAGTTTTTGAAATTAGGAAACTTGGGCCACATATTTTTTTTGGCCGGGGTGGAGGGGGTGGGGGGGGCACATATTTTGAGAATGTGTTTGTACACATTATGAAAGTCTGGATTAAGTCATTTAGGTACACATTTGAGTAAATTACCAAAATCACATCATAGTGAGGATATATAGTATGTACATTTATCAAATTAATTAAATGTACATATTATTAAATGTAGTATATACATTTCCTATAAATCTATCAAGTAATATCCTTTGAATTATATAACTGTGTTAGAAGAGAGCATGAGTGATTCCAGGGATCTAGTACAGTTTAGAAATACCTGGTACTTTTGCTTAACTGCTAACCTAATACAGCTTTTCTGTAAGAGAGATGGCAAGTTGAGGATGACTCGGGAAGCTGGGCGAGGAAGGCTTGGGAAGTCTGCCAGCTTAGCTGCTTCCCTGTTGCATTTCTTAAACCTTTATTGGGATCGGTGGTTTGGAGATGAAGTTCCAAATATAACTCTAGGAAGGTTGGGAAAAATGAACCCAATTTGGGAGGAGTCTTCTCTCACCCTGTCCCTCCATTAGAAATCTAACTAGGACTATTAATAAATGTACTTGAAAGTAGGCTTCTGCACATTTAGATTGGTAACCGGCCAACAGCTGTTATATACTGCCACTTAATTCTGAACATCAGTTGAGCTAAAAGACTTAATTCTTTGATGAGATGATTTGAATTTTAACCACTTGGAGGTGAATCCTCATTTGCAATAATATTACCAGTTGTACATATGATGTAATATGTCTAAGGAGTTTTCTGGTCCCTTTTTTACTCTGTTACCGAGTATGGTAGTTTCCTGTATCCTGAAGAGAGACAAGCTTGTAGAACAGTCAACATGAGGGGGCTTTCAAAAGAGTTCCTGGAAAACGGCAACTGAATAGCACATTGCCTTATGTTTGATATCTCTTTTCTAAAGATTAGCATGAGTTCCTGCTAAGCACTAAGTGTTTACTAAGTATGGGTTATAATTTAGCTGATCTGGCATGAATGACAGGCATGCAATTTTGTCTGTCTCCCAAATCCAGTTATTCCTTCAACAGGAACAGGTATTACCATATCGAATTTTATGCGATATTGCTGCTTTTTGTAGTATCATAGGTAGGTTTGAAACAATCCGTATCAAAATATCACACAATGACTTGTGATGGCATTTATTTATTTATTTTTATAACATTTAAATATTGAAATTGATAAATGAAAAATGCATCCTCTTCTGGACCTGCGGCGTGAGAAGAAATACTAGGTAAAATATTAATAAACACTGGTCTAGGTTTGAGCTAGTAAATTGGATTAAAACTCATCAAAATATTTAGGGTGCAAATGTGAAATGTGTTCTGTATCAATTGCTTCACCTACTTAAAGTTACTTAAAGATAGTATCTGTTTCTCTTACGGAATCATGAGAGTAAAAGTTGTACCATCTGGATTAGTAGTCTCAAATTTCCTTGGAATACAGCATCACTCTTAAGTGATCCGAAAATAATGAAGTCTAATGAGCCAAAGACTAAAGAAAACTGTAAGTTTCCTTAGGAAAGAAGCAGCGTTCCTGTTATCTTGAGTAAGTGCCCCAGGAAGGTGATGACAGGAACATTGTTCACAGCAATTTTCTTACTGTTCTCATTGGTAGTGATTATTTCTGTTAGCTAAAGAAATCCAGGTTTATTGACTGTGTTACTTTTCTAAATACCAAAATGCTTAACTCCCTTGGCACATTGAGCTTCACTGTTGACAGGCTCTGGGGTAGAGTGAAGCCGCCAACTGGCGTGTGGCCTGCTTCTTTGCAGTGTGGGAAAGAGAGAGGAGTTTTGGCAAGAGACACCTAAGTAGACTCTTTTCTAAAGGTTCTCAAAGGGATTTAGTCGCTGTGAAAGAGACGTGACCTCAATTTTTAAGAAATCTTTATTAAACTGAACACAGAAGGGGGAAGCTATTGCTTTTCTTAGGAAATTTCATTGCAGTTGTGCTGAAAAGCACTTGTAAAAAAAATTATCCTACCAGATCATCATTCTGATTAAGGGAAGGCAAGCCTGTGAACAGCTTCCTGTTCCTTTTTTTTTAAGGAAAATGCAACATGGCAGCAGCAATGGAAACAGAGCAGCTGGGTGTGGAGATCTTTGAAACTGCAGAGTGTGAGGAGAATATTCAATCACAGGACCGGCCTCAGTTGGAGCCGTTTTATGTTGAGCGGTATTCGTGGAGTCAGCTCAGGAAGCTGCTTGCTGACACCAGGAAATACCATGGCTACGTGATGGCCAAGGCACCGCATGATTTTATGTTTGTGAGGAGGAGTGGCCCAGACGGGCCTCATTCGGACAGGATCTATTACCTTGGTAAGTTTGAAGCACCTGTTGTTCCATGAAATGTTTCAATTCAAGCATGGAGGTTAGACATAATTGATCTGCAAATGTTGGCCAGTGAATAAAGGAATTAGTAACTTGGCTCAGGGGGAAAAGGCAAAAGTTAAAAGCAAACCTTTTGATTTGAAGAACTTCCAATATAGTGCTCTTTTAATTGTGATTTATTCCATTAACTTTATTTTTTCTCTGCAGGTAACATCACAAAGAGCAGTGAGCTCAGTTTCAAAGTTAAACTTGCCAGAAATTACTTTTTCCTGAAACTAGTTTCCAATTACCTTTCCATGAGTGGTCACATTAGAAATATGAACATTTGAAAGTGACGGTTACTCTCAGAGCATGTTTCACTAATTCCTAATTGCTGAGACAAAGGGGATATCTAGATATATTAACCCCCCCTCCCCAATTTTGACTGATATTGCCAGATTGCTTCTATAAAGAGGTACAGTTTTTATCTCCATCAGCATTGTCTTAGAGTATCTGTGTTCCCTTGGCAACTGTCTGGAGTAATCAAATTTTGATCCTTTCTAATTTGATGTGGTAGACAGTCTTGTGGTTTTAATTTATAGTTCTCTCGCATGAATGAGATGGGGTATATTTTCACCTACTTAAAAGGCATCTGCATTTTCTTTTCTGCAATGAATCTATTGATAATCTTTATCTTTGATTTTAGATCTGCTTTTTATTGATTAAAGGTTTTTAAAATAAGGACATTAGCCATTTGTGGTATTTCCTCCTTGTTTTAATGTTTTTCCTTTGATGTCTTCTGGCAGAACTGTGTGGTCTTTTTAATGGGAGGGGGCTGGAGGGTGTGATAGTAATAACAGCTGTAAATAACTTTATATCAGATCAAGAAAGGCTTTTCTGACTCTAAGATTGTATTTTTAAAATATTTAATGTTTTCTTTCAATATTGTAGTAGGTTGAATTGCTAATGTAATGCGTTACTTCATATGAAGTGGATTTCTTTTGGTGGTATAACTTAGGAAGTGAAGAAAATACTTTTCCCCATAGGTGGCTCTCTAGTTATTTCCCCTCAAACATAATTTTTTTCAAAGCTCTGTATTTAATTTTTTTTTACAAAACAACCGTATCACCTTCGAAGTACTCTCCATTACACTTAATACATTTGTCAAATATGTGATTCCATTCTTGGAAACATTTTTCAAACTCATCTGTTTGCATGACCGACAGCACCTCCCATATTTTTTTCTTCACCTCTTCTACTTCAAATTGTTGTCCTTTCATGTTCCTCGGTATTCTCAGAAACAGTCACACAGAGCGAGGTCTGGTGAGTAAGGTGCAAGAGAGGCATGCTGGTTTTTGCCAAAAACTAGTGCACTGAGATGGCTGTGGGAGCAGGTGTATTGCCGTGGTGGCAACCCGCCCCCCCCCCAAAAAAAATCGGGCCTTTTTTTGTCGCACATTTTTACACAGTTTTTTAGAACGTCTAAATAGAAAGCTTGATTAACAGTCTGACCTGGTGAAACAAACTCCAAGTGCACTATGAGCCCATTCAGGAAGTTGGTGGAAGTCCAGAATGAGACGTTTCACTTTTTTGAAATGTAAAAGCCATTTCAAAACACTTGAGTTTTTCTGTCCTTGTGCTGTATTTGTAAGCTGTGTTCAACATCACAACAGTTTCTGCCCTGCCCTCCCGCCCCCCAGGAAAGCATCACTGTGACCAGAGAGAACCTTCCCAAGGGATGCCACTGGGTACACTAACTCAGAGAGACTTGCTGGATGCTTGATGCTTGCCTAGCGGGAAAAACGTGTACTACGGAAGCTCTGCTCTGCCTAGCGCTCAATACTGGTTTTTTTGGGGTACCCCCTCATATTTTGAATAATCTGCGTTTCTCTGTAATGATTAAAAACTAGTGTTATATAGTGTGCCCCCTTACATATATTCAGGTCTTTTTTTTTTT